GGGTCACACTTTGGGCAAGCTGGCCAGTTTTACATTCGGCCCTTGGGGGGGTGGGGGGGGGGGGAGGTTCACAACAGTGTAAAATAGATGTGGTAACATGTGCGTGTAACTGTTGTGTATGTGTGCGTGTGCGCGCCTGCCTATGTGTGTGTGTATGTGTGTGTATGTGTGTGTGTGCAAGTATAGGGCGGGGCGGTAACAAATACTTGTCAGCACCCGCTATAACCTGACCTTCCTACGCTAGTACTCCTACTCCACACACATACACACACAACAAACACCCGCACAAACACACACATATCATCATCTGTCTCCTCCTGCTTGTTGACTATGTGTAAAATAATTTAGTCCTGTCCATTTCTTGATTGTTCTCACTCCAGGTTTTTCTTTGCCTCCCTTTTGTTTGACTACAACTTGTCCTACCCCTTGCCAGTATTCCTTGAAGTAAAGTCTTTGCAATCAAAGCATGCCTCACCACATGTCCGAATCAAACCAGTTAGTGACATTTCCTCACTATTAAAATAGGCTCCTAATGTCCTGCAAACTGATCTATGTTGTCTGTGTGTCACTATAACAGCTGGACCGACACCAAAGAACAACTGCTAAGTATCAGTAGCTATTAATGGTATTCTATCATGTCGATTCTAAATTTCGGCCCCAGTGACCTCATCATACATTCACTGGTTAAACTATATTTGGTACGTAGTTATTTACTTTCCCTTTCCCATTCAGATCGTATCTGGCGTAATATTGACCACATTGCCCACCCAGTGCCGATTTGGCTGTAAAAATATGGTTGCTCTTCCTATGTGTCGATGTTTCTAAGGCGTGAAACGGGATTTTTACTTACTTTACTTTATTCAGGTCTTACATTAATCTGTTACTTTCCAGCTACTATTGCAATACTTTCTCACCCAAGGTTATAGTTTTCAGCTCTATACGCCTAATTTATAAAAAAAAAAAAAAACAGTTTTCTCTAGAAGACAAAAACTTTGGCATAGACAGTGGTGTATTTAACACTATATAGGGACGAAGATTTTAACTCAGTATTTGAATAACATTTACCAAATGGCTTGCTTTACAGTCAGTATTCAAATTGTGCCGGGGTAGCTATTTATAACTAAAGACAGTGGAGAAAACTATTAAATAACATTACGTTTGCTTACCAGGTATCTCAATGGTGTCGGGTGCCGATATGATTTGCTCAGAAGACATTCTATCCCTCTTAGACACACGTTTAACAGTTGCCTGCTGTTCGTCTACGCTGCTCTCTCTTCTTCCTCTGGTGTGATCGCCTTTCAAGGATTTGTTACTTGCATTTGAATCCTTGTCCATGCTGCTCTCGCTAGAAGACTCACTGCTGCCCGACTCATCGCTGTAATCACTGTCTTCACTGTCGTCACCGGTCCGTGCTAGTGCGGCCGATTTGGTCTTCATCCGATCAAGGAAATCCAACACGGCATGGTACTGTTTATTATAATCCACGACCTCTTTTGGATATGGAGCAATACTGTTTTTATGGACACAAATATAGCAATTAAATTTAAATTTTATCATTCATGTCAAATGTAGCTAAACTAAAAATTACAAATAATACAAATTGAATTCAGTTCGCACCCACCCCCCCCCCCACCCCACCGCCCTCCCCCAAAGTAACGCAAACAACTTAGGTGTAGTGCGGGGAGAGTACTACATAAGAACAGCGGGCAACAAACAAGCCAAGAGGCCGATTAAGAAAGTGATGAGTGGATGGAATAAAGGAGACATTTAAGAAACGCAATACGACATCGACAAATGCTAGGCATCTATAGTGTGTTTAGAAAGGTGCGTCGTGACTCTTCAAAAAGACGGGAAACTTCATGTTACTCTTCTCTGCGACCCTTTACGGCATAATAATCAGGACAGAAGCAGAAGAACCAATAAGGAAGCATTGATAAGTAAAGTAAAACCAAGAACCCTCTTCACGCCAATGGTAGATGATGCATGTGATGCTAGACTTCGACTTTAAAGACCAAGCGGCACTTGCTAGGAGATGGGATCAATATCATACCGGCAGCATTTACTTCTAACGATATGCAATGATGCTTTTTTTATCCTCTAATGAAATCCATGATGTGAGGATTCCGGAATCTGATATTCTAGGGAGCTCCAAATGAAACGCATAAAAATAGGACAGAATTTGCAATAACGCCGCCATTGTCTTCTAACCTTACAATATTGTTGTTATGGATGACAAGAAGGTTAAGCATTTCACATCACCTTGCATGCGAACTCATGACGTCCTACTTGAAAGATGGCCTACCACTTCTGATTTGCGTTAAATAGGAGCAGCGTTCTTTTTTTTTTTTGGTTTGTCCTAATCCTTGAAAGGATAAAACCTACAGAAATCCATCAGTGAATGAGGGTCTACAGTGATGGTGCATGCTTGTCACTCCAGCAACTGTATGAGTGGCGTAGGAAATTTTAAAACATAAACTCTGACAGACTGTTGACAACAGGCGTCTGGGCTGTTTGTAAGCTATGGTATCTTGTCTCTTGATTTTATAATCTCTTTCCCCACGCGGGACGATTTCTTGGCTATTTTAAAGCTCCACCCCGGTTGTTGCCAACTTAAAGGTTGAACATGGTTTCTGGGACATCTCCAGGGAAGCTTCTCATCCGAATGGTGGCACTTGGTGTTATCGCGTGTTTATTGATCAGTGTGATGTCCTGGTGGGGTAGAAAGTCAGTCAGTCAATCCGTTTAATTTTCTAATCACAGTTTACTCCTTCCATGAAAAATCATGATCGTAACCTGCGTTTGAATTTGTACCTGCCCTTTTCATTCTTTAAGTGTCGATTTGTCTATAAAAAATATTCGTCTAGCCCTATCTTCCTAATACGCCCAAAGACGTGGAAAAGGCACCTTTCCATTCCATCTATTCAGCTTTCTGATCACTTGTTATTTTGTATGCAGTATTGCTTAATATCAACACGACTGCTGTCGTCCTACTTACATATTCGCTTCGGCTGTGAATGGTATATTGGCTAATACAAGTTTGCAGGTACATGTATAATATCAGAAGACGATCTGCACTGCAGCTTTCCGCTGGTTAGAGAACAAGACACACACACACAAATTGTGATTGTAACTGACTCAGAAAGCATGCTGAGGAAGATCAGGACACGCATTCTTCGTGCAGAGTGGCAGGCCTCGCTGCGGAGGACACGGGTAAGGAGTATTGTCTGGATTTTGTAACCAGGAAATGTCGGTGTATTGGGAAATGAACAGGCGGACAGACTGGCTGGCTCTGCACAATTTGGTGGAATACTGATGCATGATAAGAAAAACGTGGCTAGTGCCTTGTTGGAGAGCGTGTACAGTTTGGAGGAGCAGAAGGATCACCACAGTCTATTGAAATTGATGCAGTGGGGAGGATTGACGAGAGGTTCTGGCAGATGCTCGAGGCTTAGGGGAAGGGAAGACGGACGTTTAATCAGAATGCTACTGGCACTGTTAGTATCGGACCTCTTCGTTGGTTGCTGAAGATAGTAACGGAGCGCTTATGGGAATGCCATTAGTGCTGTGATATCGGTTCTTTATTTGAATCAAATCGAATCACACACACACACACACACACACACACACACACACACACACATATATATATATATATATATATATATATATATATATATATATATATATATATATATATATATATATATATATATATCTTCTTCTTCTTCTTCTTCGCGTTTACCAGCTGTACACTCTGGTGGAAAGTTCTGGTTGTTCGTCCACTTCTGAACTGCATTCCTGCTCCAGAACCTGAGTGTTGCGTGTGCATCAGTTTTACAGATCTGATTCACTTGAATGCAGAATGTTGGTTCCTTGCCTCTCAGTCAGATGCACTCCGACTTCAAAGGAAGCTCCCCAATTAGTCGACTCTTACGACATGCTTTTGGGTAGGCAGAGGGTCTATTCTTGTTTTCCCCACGATGGGGCCCCGGAACCAACACGGGGACTGGAAACTAATAAACAGCTTAACACTCTTATAGACAAGAATATAAGGTCCAGCAGATATAGCTTCTGGTAGTCAAAGTGACTAATACAATTATGCTGAAAGAAGTCTTACAGCAGAGCCAGCATAGGGTAAATACTGAGCGGAGACAAAGGGTTCGGTCAGTATTATGAGAAGAGATTAATGTGCGGCAAACTTACCCCTTTATGAAAACGAAGCGGAATATAATGCTAAAAAAAAAGAAAAGAAAGAAACGCACGGTTACCTTATAGCACCCTTTTAATTAGACAACTAGAAACACCGTACACATAAATCTATTGGTTAACCTATGGGAAAGAACTATAAACCGATTGGTTGAATTGTGTGTGCAATTTGAACAATTTTACTCATTAAATTAGAAAGCTTTTGAATGACAAAAAAATTAAAAGAGTATCTCCCTTTCAATAGCTATACGTTATTTTTTGCTTAATTTTTTTTTTTTTTTTTTTATAATCATGATTTTTTTTCTCTAAGTAATATAGCAAAACAGCTAAATATTATTCATAGCAGCTGTTCGTCACATTAGTAAATTGAACTGCAGTCGCATGTGGAGAAGTATCAACAGTAATCCCTGATTTTTTTTTGGGTACTAGAAAATGCTGGTTATCCATACAAACATTGTGGAAGTTCAATGAATGCTAATAATTAATAACTTTATATTATGTCACAAATTATAACTGGGAAAAATAGATGATCAACTTTAAAAAAAACAAGTATTTTAAAACAAAGTAATTTCTTTTTTCCTGAAACAGTCAGTGAAAAGAGGGCTATCTTTGAGACAGATACCATCACAATGTTGTACACTGTTGTGAAACATACCCACCTATTGAAAAGCGTAGAAATTCCAAGCCCTACAAAGAAAATGATGAACGCAGTCTGAATGCCAATGATGACGCTGGTCACGTGTATCCTTTGGCTTAAGACCTCAATGAACTGGCCAGGATCATCCTTGTTCCGAATACCAAAGAACATATGGTTGAGTAGCATTAACGTCTGGAGAATTGACAAGCCCGTAGTCAGTCGACGAGCCTGTGGATTGAGTTGGGTGGGAGGAAAGGATGGAGGTCACTTGGGTGTAATTAAATACAATAAATTGCAGAATGCAACGAGCAATAATTTATTTGTATTTGCATGTATGTGTTTGTAAGCGGGAAGAGGTTGTTTGTTTAAGAGAGAGATAGAGAAAGAGAGGAGTATGTTAGGGGAGAGGAGGGGCAATAGTAACTATCGACAACGTCAGCTCTGTTCAAGGACAAAATCGAGAGAGTATGGAGATCATTTCATTAAATGTATCACACAATGTGGCTGCCAAGAAGAAGAAGAAGAAGAAGAAGAAGAAGAAGAAGAAGAAGAAGAAAAAGAAGAAGAAGAAGAAGAAGAAGAAGAAGAAGAAGAAGAAGAAGAAGAAGAAGAAGAAGAAGAAGAAGGAGGAGGAGGAGAAGGAAGAAGAAGAAGAAGAAGAAGAAGAAGAAGAAGAAGAAGAAGAAGAAGAAGAAGAAGAAGAAGAAGAAGAAGAAGAAGAAGAAGAAGAAGAAGAAGAAGAAGAAGAAGAAGAAGAAGAAGAAGAAGAAGAAGAAGAAGAAGAAGGAAAAAAATAAGAAGAAAAAGGAAAAAAAAAGAAAACGATGAAGAAGTAGAAGACTGACAAAAAATAATAAAGGAAGAAGCAAAAAAAAAAAAAAAAAAAAAAACAGAAGACTAAGAAGAAAACACTATCCAGAAGAAAAAAAAAAAAAAGAAAGAAACATCTGTTTACGTTTTAGTTAATAAAAACGTTGAAGTAGACAACATAAGAGAAATCTATTTATTTTTACCCCACCAGGACATCACACAGTGAATAAACACCCAATGACACAAAGTGCCATCATGTGGATGAGGATCGCCGTGGAGAGGTCCTAGAAACCGCCATAAGACCATATTTATGTTAGGGTTATATTGCGGCCCCTGGCAAGAGCCAGAGTAGGGCTTCAGATAACGAACAATTGCATCTCACAAGGAGATGACTGGATTATGGGTAAACAAGAGAAAAACCTCAGCTCGGGGAAACATTCATTTTCGTTGTCAGGAAAAAATGGTTAGATCAAGCAGGATATGATTATGAAGCATATGGTTTAGAAAAAACGGCACTTTTACCTTACCCTAGTAAATTTATTGTAGGGTGTTTTTGCGATGATTCCAAACCACAGGTGTTCATTGCGAATGTCATTTTGAGATTTTTTTGCAATATTCACTGTCCACTGTGAAGAATAAGCTTTTTCCTATAATAAAACAAATGTTGATACAATGGAAAATTAATTATTCTTGTTGTTTGATTGTGTACTTTTAAACGACACTTTACCACCGTCACGATTTGGATAATTCGTGATTGGTTAGTCTGTAATATAAAGAGGGACAGATCAGCTGTGAAATTATTAAATTATAAATTCTAGATAGGAAGAACAGTTGTCACTGACTGCTAAATATATTACCACACATACCTCTATATACATATGTGTGTGTGTGTGTGTGTGTTTATGTGTATGTATATGCATATGCATATCTATAAACAGTTTTGTGATACAACATCCCCATGCAGTAAGCTTACAATCACGTTCTATCCAACAAACGAATCATTTGCCGTGTCTGCGCCGCCGCACGACTGCAGGTGATGATAGTAAATGATAGACTAGTACTCAAATTAACGCTTAGCTACTGCACGTTCGACAGCCCACGGGAGTTCTCAAATAGTATAGCGTGGCGGAGGAGTGAAGACTGTAGAATTCATTGGGTTTTGACGGAGTTCAAGGTAATCGAGAGACTGGACAAAAGGGCCCGAACATAGGCTTGTCGGGGAGCTGGCTGAGAGACTTGGACTAGTCGTATTGCGTTTTGACCTCTAGGTTGTTACGTGATTGACTTAAATCAGCGACGGTTAGTTCGTGATAACGTGGTATGCTCTGACGGTGTTGGGGTAGTGTATTTAAGGAAAAGATATTACTGTCAGGGGGCTTTGAACGAGCTATTTGACTTGACAAGACTAAGCAGGTCTTCAATAGTAAGTTATTAGATGATAATATCAGTTTTTTTTTCCTTCAAATTGTACAAGGCAAAATGAGGCTCATTTTATATTACTCCTGGTATCTGCCCCCAAGACAAAATGATAGATTAGGCCACACTGCCCGTACAGCGACTTGTCGGCTTACCGAGAACAGGAACAATTAACTGCATATCCAAGCTTACTTAAGGGAAACGCGACTGACCCAAGTTAATTAAGATTAGCACCAATCGTTTGAAAGAAGTAACAACTATTCTCATGTATTGTCGTTGCTCTTGCATCACTGTATTTCAGTTAATACATGAACAAGGAATCTAGTAATCTGGTAATCTTAGTTTCAGCTACAAAGCAAACGGGTAACCCAATAACTGCTCCGCTCCTGTGTCAACTAAAAACACACAGAATGTTCATCAAAGTCCCTTGTGGAAAGATTGACAGACTGCTGTCTCAGCATGTGCACTAGCATACAAACGCATTAAAAGCATACGGTAGCCATCAGAAGTGCTAACACAAACTGTCCGACATTAGAAATGCTGTTCATCATGGATGGTAGCAGAAGTCTTCAACAGTTTAGCAGTTGCGCACGCGATTAATTCAATCACATAATCGGACCACCAATATTCCGACAACAGGCATCGCTCCATTTTCTGAATCTACAATTCAGACCACCACGTTGTTCACAGTAGAAAAGCATTCTAAATGAAATCAGCAGCTCTCAGTGTCACGCCATGCACTCAGCTCAGAAGTTGGGCTACGAAACTATCCTTTACGTCTACAAATGGAGCAAAAATTAACCGGTCACCGTCTGGCAGAAGCAACAAATTTGTCACTTCTTATAACAGTGACATTGCCTAGCGTCTATTTTGACCGGAAGTCAAGGAGCAAGAAGCAAGGGACAAGCATCTTACTGAAGGGAAACGCGGCTGACCTAAGTTAATTAAGATCAGAAATAACAACTATTCTCATATATTGTTGTTGCTCTTGCATCACTGTATTTCCCCAGTGTGAGCAGTGTTGTTCAATCTCTTTACACTTCTGACCCACCAAAACGTGGGAAATTAAATCCCTGCCCACCTGACAACTAACGAAACACAGAAACAAAGATCAAACTGAGGCAGCAGTTTATGTGTTCAGTTCGATGTCATAAAACAAACATTTTCAGCCTAGGCGATTTTTGCTACTGCCTAGCAGATGGAAAAACTGATAGACGTAGCTGAACGTTGTTTCTGGCAAACGATGTGCTGCAATAATATATTTGTGTGTGTGTGTGTGTGTGTGTTCCTATTTTATTACTAAAATGGATGAGAAGTTTTTCAAAGAAATGGAAAATGTATTTAAAAAAAACCTAGTAGAAATAAACAAAATAAACAAATCGCACACACAATCTGAATGCTCTAAAATTCAGATATGGTTACTTTTTCTTACCATTTCCTTTTATTAATTTTTTTTTTTTTTTTTTTTGTCGAGTGAGTTCAAAAGTTGAGACAACAACTCTATTTACAACCCAGACACAAGGGTAACATCGGATGGTATCTTGATCAGTTTGTCATTTTCCCGAAGATCAAATTGTCAAATATGTAGAATCTTGTCTCTTGCAAGAAAGTATTTTCAACCCAAAGATCGCCATCATGAGGATCTTCGTTTCAGAGGATTACTTTTCAGTTTCCAGTTAACACTTTTACAAGCTACATACTATATTAAACATTATTTACTGGTTGTTATCAGCACTCAGCATGTTGGGAAATGAGCAGTTAGAAAAACTGGTCGCTTCTGCACCACTTGGTGGTGTATTGATGTATGACAAACTAGATGTTGTGAGGACCCTTTGGGAAGGAGTGAAAAGCGTGAAGGCACAAATAGATCATTACGGTCTAAGGATAATGACGCTGCGGGAAGTTACCAGGGGATCTTGCTGACGCTCCACACTCAAGAAAAGGGCGAGACGAATATACAATCAGACAGTTGCTGGTACCACCAGAATTGGAACTCTTTGTTTGTTGATAAAGATAGGGACGGAGCGCTTATGGGGCGTCCCATGTGCTGTGATGTCGATTCCTAATTCAACTGTAAACATTTTTTTTATTCATCATCATAAACCACTTTTACCGTTATGCGACGTGGAGAGGAATAATTTGCGATCCAGTGCACGTTGTCTGCCATTGGCTATTGGCATACAGTAAAGGCGTAGAGAGTCTTTAATGTTGTCGATCCCTTATTTCTGCCGACGTCCTCTTGCTCTTGTATCTGATTTTCTGACATGTAGTGCTTGTGATGGCATTCGATCTTGCTGCATTCTAACGAGATGACCGATCCACTTGATCTGCTGTTTTCTCGTTAAATCTAGTACAAAGTGTCGTTTCCACAATTTGCCTGATAGTTTCATTATTCATTCGATCTCGGATGGTTAGGATGGCTGCTTTTTTTCAGGCACATCCTCTCGCAGGTGGTGATTTTGCGTATATGGGCTTTAGATAGTGTCCATGTTTGGCACTGGTAGCCTAATGTTAGAAAGAGTATGCTGTTAATAATCTGTCCCTTTGCACTCATAGTTATGTGTGGACGTCTTAATAATGGCGACAATTGGTATATAAGTGCACTTGCTTTCTGATATATGGTTTCTATTTCTCAGTCAATTCTATCATCTTCTGTGATCATACTTCCTAGATATTTAAACTCCCTAACTTGATTCAGAGCAGGGGTTCTACTAACTTGCATTGTTTTGGTTTTGTTTGCATTTTTTTAAATAGAGGATGCAAAACCACTGCTGCAATTTTGTACCTGTACGGCAGGGATTTCAACCCGTAGTTGTTCTGTGCCTAAGTCTATGCTGATCCAGTTGTTGAATGGGCACATCCACGTCTCGTTAGTTTGCATATTCTGCACAAACACAGAACTGAGGAACCTGTGAACAGAGAAAACAAATATAACTTACACTATTTACTATATTGATGTTTCTCATCTAAATACGAGATGCCATTACAAATTGTGAATGTCTTATTTTCCAAATGTGTCCTTTCTATTTATGCGTTCTGTTCACTGGTGATATAATTCGTTTGCATGTGTACCCATTCACATAACTAATTCCAGCATTTTTGTCTGTTGTAGTTTTTTCGGGGCAAATTTTACGTTAAGTAGTTTGCCATTGCTTCTCAACAGTCAGCTCTCGGCACCACTGACGAAACCATCGCAAGAAAAATCGTTCGCAGTTTAAATCGAACCCGACATTACGAAGCGCATTCAGTAAAAAAAAAAAAAAGTAAAGATCCCTTTTCGGCGCATCGGGCATATGGGCAGAGCATATTTTTACAGACCATCAGCACTCTGTGGGTAATGTGGTGAGCATTACGCCGGTTGTCCTTACTTTCCCAGGACAGCCCATCCTGGTACCCATTTTAGGCTGGGTCGACCTGCGACGTCCCATACCACGATAAAAATCCACGCAGCCTGCAGTGGGTTTCGATCGCGGTATGCTGGCTCACGTGTCGGACTCGCAACGCCTTTAGCCACGGACGCCACGAAGCGCATTCACCGCAGACTAAATGTGACATAACAAGAGAAAAATGTTTGCGTTTTGTGAAGTTGTAATGCTCAAATGTGGGGCTTAAAAGTGAACTTCATCAGAGTCCTAGATTTTAGAGTATGCTTTAGATCAGTGTTCCACGACCTGTGTACACGCGCGGCCAACAAACACCGTGAAAACTGTTTCGCCGCCCATCCAAGGACGAAACAAAAACACACGTAGATAACAGTTTATTTGTTAAATTTTGTGTTGTCAAATTTAAAGATTTCAGCTAAACCGACACATGCTGCTTAGAGGCAATGCAATACTTTTTTTCTAAAAGAGGAATCGCTGTATAACCTCCATTTGGTTTCTCTGTTTGGTTATTAATGACTCGTGTGTGTGTGTGTGTGTGCGTGCGCGCGAGTGTGTGTGTGCGTGCGCACGAGTGTGTGTGTGTGTGTGTGTGTTTGCGCGCGCTGCTGTATAGGGTTTCGCTGGTGTTACCAATTTGATTCTTATTGTTGAAGCGCAAATTCTGCAATCGTGGAAAAGAAAACCTAACTGCCCGAACCCTTACATTATAAGTGGACCGCCGGGCAGAGGTTGAAGAACACTGCTGTAGATAATATAAACTAGAAGAAATAAACGAATAAAAAAAAGGAAAAATTGACATCTCTGGACTCTGGATACACATGCTCCCTCTCCATCATCAGTAACCAACGAAGTGTCAGTAAGCTATTAGTACCTCTTACAACCAGATTAAAAACCTCATCGTGTTTTCCTATCGGGGCTGATATATCTTTTAGAATCTCTAATCATCTCCAGTTCCCCACCCCCATCCGGGTTATATGTTATCCGCTTTATCATAAAGTAGCCCATCTCGAAAAGCAGTGTTAGCAGCTAATGCATCAGACTGATCATTATGCCGCACACCCGAATAACCTAGATAATAATAGAGCTGTCAGCAACCCAGCTTCAGGACACACTAAACAACGTGCATATACAGCTATGCTAATGATTGTGTTACCACATACCAGGAGGGGTAAGCTCCGGAGAAATCAGTCCAAACAACAACTGCCATCAGATCCCCAATGTCGTCCTCTGTTGTTAACATAAACCAGTTCTCTGCACCAGACTGAGGAGCCAAATGGTGTTCAAGAAAATATAGCAATATAGGAGGAACGGAAAAAATGAGAATGTTTATAAGAACGAATTAGGCACACACATTAACAGTAAATTAGACTCAATTGTTACTGAATAAGTTTATATTGTACAATGTTTATAAAGGAAACAAAAAAAAACTAGTGTTAATCCTATCCTTTTCTACTACAGATGTATAATTGTTTGCATTGTATTTACTGTTTTGAACACACACAAACATGTTTAGAATTCTTCTTGTCACAATGTGTTATCTTTAGGGTGTGAATACTTGGGCTACAAGACAAGCATACGCGTCTGCTGAATTCCAGGCTTTAAGATTCTACTTTCAGTGGGTATGTGTCGAGATTATAGCTCCTGATTGCAGGGGTGGTGTCTCTGGATCATAAATCATAAAAGTTCACTTGACAACGATTACGCCCAACCTGCGTTTCCCAAGGATAGCTAAGATAGAGCGGTAACAAACTGTGGACGAATTCCAGTCGAACAGTTGATCCTTTATAAACTAGTATTTGCCAACAATGCATAAATATATACAAATAACATATTATTTCCACAGTCAATTAGGATCTATGTCAGTAACGCAATACTTGTACAAACTAACTGCGCTATCCAACACTCCTTGCTCCACTCTCCGACTCTTTCGTTTAGTCAGATAAAACGAATCCCTTTTCAATCACTGGCTCTTTTCTTCTTCTTGCCTATCAGGTGACGGGAGACTAACCACTCTCTTGGTGTCAGTGGGGGCGCACACTCAGTATGTCGTTCTGGGGAAATATAACCTTGGTCATTCCACGCCCTGCCAAAATACACACTAACTCACTTCTGATTAGTAGTTTCCGAAACTGTCGCCTTGGTACACAGTTACGGTGGTGTTCCGCAATGCCGTTGATATCGCGTTTTGTATATTACAGAATGCCAGCGCTTTTAACACTCCAAAACCATGTAGAAACTGGTCCTAATACAACCCTCCTAGACAGTGCTGCAACCTATATCACAGGCATTCTCTTTCTCAGAAATAAACGTAAATGCAAGACATCACTGAAAGCAAACAACAGAGCACGACACACCTGTAACCTCAAGGAAAGTCGACCAGCCCATCACAATAGTGAATGAAAAGTGACCAACTCTATTTATGGAGACTAACGTGAACCTAACCACCGTTCTGTGTTGTCTCTGAGTTTGGCAGCCTCTTGCATCCACCTCACATTACACATTACCCTTCACCTGGATGACTTTGTTTCCTCTTGAACAAAATTTCAATTATGATCTACCGTTTCACATTTATTGACTATGACTCTACACGCGTCCGTAAACCTGTAAAACACAGCAGCCACTGCTTTGCTTACTTTTGCTTGTCTCTTGTCCAACACCTTAACTTAGTTTTTGAACACTGTATTCTGTACCATGGCTATTCATCTAGCGGCCTGTGGTTCAAAACCGGTCCCTATAGGGCCAAGTGACCCACAGATCACCTGTCAGCTGTTTTATTGGTCGTTATATGTTAGGACTTTGGCGTCTTACCCGTGACGATACCCATTTTACAACATTTTCGGCCCCATCGTAAACATAGTTGAATGGCCCTGTTCTACACACTAATCTCACGAGCATAAACATAGAACAGAATAACCACTTGAAGAACCAAATGTGTAAAACCGTCAAGGAAAAACCTTGGGGAAGAGCCATGTAAAAAAAAAAAAAACCACACACGCACACATACACACAAATATATATAGTCTGCTTTGGTTTGTACAGGGGTTTGATGCTTTCCTACTTCTGCTTCAAGGTCTCACTTTTCCTGTCTTCTTGAACTTGATTTCGTAAACAAAAATTTCAAACTTTGGCGACGTTTAACCAGCTCCTATTTGAGCATCAGTTATTTCTCGGCCGTGTTTTTTGTGGTTTATTCTTTGATGGTTCTGTGTGATGTGTTGCCAAATCTGCGTTTTTTGTTGTTACTGCTTTCCTTTGTTTACTGTGCTTTGGGCTGTCTATCTGGCGTTTCTCGCCCTCCCGAACTTCGGGTGCCAAACAATGATGTTATCATTTCCTTCAGTTTCAATTCCTATTCTGATTATAGTCTGCTACAGATGTTAACAAAATTTAGAACACGACAAAAAGTGTCTATTACGATAACACATAATCGAGATGTTGTCCTCTGGTACAGAAAAAAAAAAGATAAATAGAAACAAAAAATAGGATGTATTTACCCGAAATAGGTAACGATTAGGGTCTTGTAACACATGGTTTTCACTCTGGAACCAAGATCCCTTGAGATTAATAAACACATTTGAGGAGGTAGCAGATGATGCGGACCACCCAGTGACCACACAGATCAGGTAGACATAATTATGCTCATCTTTGTTGTCATCCAGCACTGTCACTGCTGTCTATAAATTAAACATAATAGTGTGATTAATATGTCTATCAATCTCAAGTTACATAACGAAAATTATGAATGTGACATCTGTATTGAAATCAAGATGTGTGTGAGTGTATGAATAAAAACTATACAAGGCTATCTTCAAACTCTGAAACCTCTCTCATCTGATATTTGTGTGTTACCAGCTTTGATTTACCTAAGATTCAAAATCATAGAATGAAATAGGAATACCCATGGTCCATCCTAGGCTGCAAATGATACCGACTGTTCCAGTAGCGCATAGGTTGCACGCGCTTCCCACTCTTTCTCTAATACTTCAGTTTTTCCTAACCCATTCCTACTTCTGAATTCACATGTCAATGCACGTGTTATTGTTTGTAATATCATAATTTCAAATGGCAGTCGTTTACAAGCACTCTTCGGTATGAAAGTTTATGTAGCTGTCTCTTCTGCAGGCAAAAAATACCAGTTAGCGTATTCCCCCGCACTTCGAGGATACCCAAGCGAGTCTTTGTAATTTTGGCACAGCAATGCCTGGCATCAGCTCAAGCCACATTGGGATATTTTGAACCTACCTTCGGCTATCTGACCTAACATATAATCCATTTTGATATTCAGACACAAAGGTATCTATCGCCAGTAGAACCACTGAAAACCACCTAAGTAAGGCAGACAGAGAGGGAGAGAGAGAGAGAGAGAGAGAGAGAGAGAGAGAGAGAGAGAGAGAGAGAGAGAGAGAGAGGGAGAGAGTGCGCGAGATAGTAAGAGAGAGAGAGAGAGAGAGAGAGAGAGAGAGAGAGAGAGAGAGAGAGAGAGAGAGAGAGAGAGAGAAAGGGGGGGGGGGACGAGGGACTGCAAAGCAATGGAATTTATGACTGAAGTCTACCGAATTTCATTAGAGACTACATAATGTCTACAACACCACACTTCTTCCTCTGTCGTTTGTCTTCCAGTGGAGCATAGACCCTCAACTAACATGCAAAGTCGCTCTATCGTTCGCCAGCAGCTCTATTCTCCTCAGACTGTAATGAACTATCTGTGCTTCCACACTGTTCAGTCTCTCCCAAGAGCCCTCACAACATCTAGCTTGTCATCAGTTCACCAACAAGCGGTGCTGAAACCCTATTCCGCAACTTCGCTAAGCAGACTGACACAGTCCTCCTTTCGAACAGTGCAATTGACTTAAACATGTTATCAACTATGTCCAAAAAACACACATTGAAAATCAACACCTCTTGAACAATTTAAAAAATTTACAGACTAATCTGGATGTTTAAAAATAAAATATAAATAAAGTGAAAATGTCACAAACTGTGAATATCTAGGCTCCAAAATAGACAGAAATAAGACTGTCAAAAGAAGGATGACCATAGCAATACAAAGATTAAGCAGCATTAAATGTCTTTGGGTAATTTAATTTGAGCACCCGCAACGAAATATAAGGTAACATTTTGAGAGCAGGGATCTTCCGTTTGACAACGTACAGATGTGAGTCATAGACTATCGCCCAGTCCTTAAGGAAGAAAATGTGGGTCTTTGAGCTAAAATCCTATAGAAAGACTTTCATAATACAATGGACAAAGAAGAAAGGAAATACTAGTTATCTGAATGTTCTGAACATGAAGGAAGATTGACTCATAAACAGCACCGTGTCTCGGAAGCTGAAATATTTTGTTCATATCAAGCGCCAGTTTGTTTTCGAAAGCTGATGAGAGACCCAATTTTATTCAACCAGACCGCGATGAGAGGGAAGTTCTGCAAAGAACTTGCTACATAATAGTGATTGGCAGTAAACGAAGAATAGGATAGTCTACCAAAGACATCCATAGGGCACACCTATTCCTACTTCAGATGCATCTGTTAGCTTTCCCTCATGAAGAACCCAACTCTTGATGTCGTGATATGTTCTTTTACTTAGTCAATAATATGTACCTGTATCCCATAGTTCCTCATCAGTTTTTTCCCCCAGTGATTCCCTATCAATGCTGCCAAAAGCTGTTTGGCAGCCTGAAAATCTATTGTATAATAGTGGACTCTTTTCCAGGTCTGCAGGCGCACTTGGCATATAATGCTAGACCTCTTTTTTTATAGACCAATCAGCACTCGGTGGGTGATATGGTTAACGCCGGCCCCCTTCACTTCCCATGACTTTATCTGATACACACTTTAGGCTGTCTAACTGGGAGCCAAGGTCATTTTTGAGGAAGTTTTAAAAAAAAAAATTCGGCTCTGCCTGAATTTGGACCCACGACTTTCGGATGCGTAGGCTAATGTCTAGCCGCTACACTACGGAAGCTCTTGTAAATCCAGTTTAAAATCGTACAAAGTGGTATAATAGTAGCACTTTGCTCTAACATTTTGCGTAGTGTGACTATTAGGTCATTACATGATATGTTTGACCGGAAACCTGACAAGTCGTTAGAGTCATTTGATGCATCATTTAGTGTTTCCAAAATAATCCTATTTAAGATTTGTTTCCTAGGAACAGAAAGCAACATAGCACAAAAATGTTTTCACACTGCTGCTGATAACCTTAATTTTAGAAATTTACTCGATATCTTTCTCTCTATTCTGTTGGTATTCCTTCGGACTACAAGACATTCCTAAATGAAGGGTGTAGCAAAGCATTTCATTTACCTTAACCAAAATTAGTAACATTGTTACCTTTATTTCATCCTGCTTATCTTGCATGCGACCCCATGAAATTAGAGCAACAAAGATCATCCACATTGCAATAACCATAGACACCTAGCCAGAAAATAACAAATGCCTAGGTTTTTTTTTAAATATACGATGAAATCATCGTCATAATTATTTTGTATCTATATCATAATACATTTGCGTTTTTTAAACTTATAGAAGAAAGAAACTACCCTAAAACACGATAACTAGTAATAGTTAATGGCGGGTTGGCGTTTTTTTTTTTTTTTGTTCCGGCAAATATTATGTTTTGAAATAGTAAATACCGTCTTGTTTTTCTTCTGCATTCACGCGAAGATGTGAACGTGTTTTATGACTACTAACATTAAATACCAGAATGTATAATCACATAAACATTACAGTAACTATATTACGTTCTGGCAATAAAATGTATCTGTCACCCAAAATGCATCCGCACCAAAACCCAAATAAGCTAAAGTTTCATTTCTCACAATTGGTTTGCAGAAATTATCTCTATCTTTAGACATACTGTTTACGTGGCAAAGAGCTTCATATGCCATCACAAATCAAGTAATGCATTCAACTTTGGTGCATACTAATATTTATAATAGGTTTCAAACAGGCCGAGTTTGTTTTCAATAATTTACACTTTCGTTCTTTCATTTCTTTTCCTGTTATGCCATTATGTGTCACATAGAACTCTCAGTCTATTCCTCCATTACGTTCTGTTTGGTGCAATTTTTTGTTTCAATACCACGGACATAATTCAGTCTAGCATCTTTGGGCTCCCTCATTAACTTTCATTTTAGAATTTCTTTGGGAGTCCTGGCATCTTAAATTCATTAATTTTCGGCGTTTGTGCCTGCATGGTGATTTTATGCTCGTTTCTTCTCATGGTGTGTTTTATATGACTCTATCTTCTTTGTTTTAAAAGTTTGGCTTCCAGTGGTGGCTCATGCCATTTATATTTAACGTATGGGAAATTTCTGCTTAAAGCGCACGAAGAAGAATGCGTAGCTCTAATACCAATTATTTATTTCAGTTGACATTTACATGTGTTAAATCTGGGCCACCACTGGTAGCCATTGATACTAAATATATTTATACAAGAAGAGATGCGTGCACGTTACAAGTGACAAGAGACATACGCTCAGAGTGGTATTTATCTTCTTTTACCCCACCAGGACATCACACAAGCGATAAACACCCGATGACACAAAGTGCCACCATGTGGACGAGGATCACCCATGAAGAGGTCCTGGAGACCGCGTTCAGCCATTAGACCATTTTTATGGCCGGGTTATATTGCGGCCCCTGGCAAGAGCTAGAGTAGGGCTTCCAATAACGAAAAATTGTATGTTACAAGGAGATGACTGGATTCCCAAAGTGGTACCCATTAGCCCCCAGACACTTGTTTGTGGGGCGAACTGCTGCTAGTGTTACCTTACTCGACTGAAATTGAACAACATTCTGAAATATAAAATGTTTTTTTTAAATAGATTTCCGCTCATCGAAAGATAGATGTGCATGTTCCACATTGTGTTGTGACTGTGCCCTGTGACGCCCTATTGCCAGCGGCATGCTGTTTACGTCATCATTCAACACATAGCTCAGTTTGGAGCTAGAATTTAAAAGTAACATTCTGATGCTTTCCCCTTAATTACAAGTAGTCTGACTATGGAGGTTATGGCAGTGACCAAAGCAATAACATGACTGGAGACGCAAACCTTTACCCGCGCGTGTTTTCTCTGTGACTCACTGGGTTTGCTCAGGACAAATGACAGTTTGTAACCACTCTGGGTTGAGTCCGAAGACTGTGGCTGCAGTCTCTGGGGCGGTCAGGGTCGACGCTTATCAGTTTGATATTGGTGTCAGGGCACGCAGGCAAGCAGGATAATAAGTAAGCTGATAGGCTTGCGTGTAAAGCTACCTTGACGGGCAGGCGTATCATGGACCATGCTGATATACTGAATGCCTTACGGGAAGAGAGTTTGCGAGGACCAAGTAAAGCTGGACAGGTACTGGGACAGCTAGCCACCCCCCCCCCCCCCCCCCGGTCCCATTTTCCTTTTTTTTTTTTACAGCATAAGGCAATCCCAGACTGCACAAAGAGACATCTCCTGCAAAGCATATTCATTCTCACCCTATGGTACCAGTGTCAGATGTGGTCACTCACAACATAAAAGAAAATTAGTAACCATGAAAATGAGATGTCTGAGAAATAATGTTGGAATGACCAGAAGAAATATAATCAGGAATGAGATCATGAGAGATAAAGTCGGCACAGAACCAATTCTAAATTACATACAATGACAGAAAAATAAAATTTTTTGCTAACTAAGAGAGAATGCCTTCTGATGATATAACATACAAGACATACATCAAGAAAAAAAGAGGGAAGGGACGTAGAGCAAGAGGCAGACCAAAAACAACATGGCAAGATAACATCAGATAAACTCTACAGCACTATGATGTGTCTATGGTGGAAGCAGCCAGGAGAGCACAAAGAGGGACCTTATATCTCCCTCGACATCTGAAGCGGTAAAAGAGGACGTAAACGCGATGACTGTGAAAATGCCTGCGCTTTTTACATGCAAGTATAACATGTTAAAATGGGTGTGGCCAGGGAAGCGCACTATTCAGGAAGTCAAAGATGAAATAGAAACAACCACAAGATTGCTGTCCTCAGCGGCTACACGCTGGGGATCAAGCGGAGAGGCAATCTGAGCACTTATGGACCAAATTGTTCAATGTGTGGTGAGGATAATATTTGCACTAACTAGACATCTTCATCATCAGGTTGCCTTGCCGACTGACGTGGGCGATCATGCCTCTCCTTAATCCACGATTGTTTGCAGCATGTTTCAATTTGTGTGTCGACACACCTCCATGCCATGCAACAAGACTGTCAAAAATCTTCTCTCGTCGTCTTCCGCTATCCCTCCTTCCACAGATCTTTCCAGTGGTCACATGTTCTATTTTAACCCTTCTCATAACATGGCCGGAAAATTATGACTGTCTCCTTCTAATGTCTGTGATAAGTTGTCTTCGGGCTCCCGCCTCTTAACTAGACATAGCTAGCGTAATTCGATATAAATATGGCAGAATATGACACGTAATGTTGACGTTTTCAAACAACTAACGGACGATTACTCTGTATATATTTAAACTTTTTATTTCATTAAAATATTTCGCAAACCTATAATTCAAAACTCGTCGGTTTGATTTACAGTTCTCATTCACACACACACACACACACACACACAGACACAAACACACACACACACACACACCGTACCGACCGGTGAGCTATTTATTGTGAGATTTCCTCTTTAACCGTGAGAGTGGATGAGATAACGAGTAGAGAGGCAGCCTTGTATAAGACTATTTCCTAATCCAGTCTGCCGTAATCATATGTTGATTGTTTGAACTTGCATATAACTAATGCAATACACGCACTTATCCAGACAGAGGCATCCCACATTGACGCCATGTATTTGATTCTCGACTATCGTCAATTAGCAACTTTTCTGAACTTGTCATTAAACCAAAGAATTCTTCTTCTTCTGCTTACGCCCCTACAAGAAAATTTAAGAATGACATCGTGGTTAACAGCAGGACTACAATATCTTCGCCTTTAGATTTATCACATGCGATTTCAGCAAACCCTTATTTGTCCGCACCTTTTACGACACGTTTGTTAAGGGGCAGTGCATATATTAGGTTTTCTCTCTCTCCCCACCCCCCCCCCCCTCCTTTCCTAACTAAATTGGTCATATAACCCACAAGGGTTAAACCAAATAACAATGGAAAACATTGTGGCTATATTGGTCGTGTAGAATCTATGTTTGATTTAACTAAGAAAGTCCCAGAATACATACCACAAGTGGGTTTTTAAACACTTCCGAGAAGTCAGAAACGTCCAGTGGGTTAATTAGCCGGGGCGTAACAAAAACACTCCCAGTATATGCCGCAGCCACAATACACCGGCAGTGCATTGAAGCCAGAGTAGAGTACATTGACACCTGCAGAAGACGCCGATACCCAAGTAATCTTTCTGTATCTGTCACTGTATCGATATCATTCAATTGTTATAAAACCCCGCTCCCATCCCTAAAAAAAAAATGTTAAAGTCATATTACATGCGAGAGGCGCATCGGGCATACCAGGCTAGACTCATATGTTTAAAGAACTCGCTTGGTTATGTGGTCAACATCACATAGGCCTCCTTTACTTGTTAGGAATTTGCCTGGTACCTCTTTCAGGTTGCCCTGACCTGGGAGCCAAGGTCATGCTTGAGAAAAGTCCATTACCAAGAGGCATGATTTCTGTAATTTCGGTGACACTTTGTGAAGTTTCTATTCAAACCCCTATCCTAGTAAAAATAATATATTTTGTTAATGAATTGTCAGCTGGTTTTAGTCCACTGTAATGTTCTTCTGTAGTTGTTTTGCATTATTTGGCTGGTTCGAGTGATGGTTGATACATAAAACAATTCAATAATTGTGTGCCCTTGCAAAAGTAAAACAAAGATAAGTAGTACCACTGATTCACTAATTTGCAGCTTTGGGAGATTACTAAGGAAGTCATAGAGACTCCAAATATATTGAAAGTACTCATTCGTTCTATGTATCTAGTAAGTAATGGGTCAAAACAATCATCGACGAAAGTTCTTTATACTGATGCTTCGAGGTTTTTCTTATTCTTGTTATCACAATCAGAGTAAAGCTGATAGATTAGTAACTAAAATGCATTTATGAGAAATTTGCGCTATAAACCAAACGGTTAAGTCTAGTACCGAAGCCTCTTCATTCGTAGCTAGGTACAACTGCATAACCTCGCCATTAGGCGTCCATTTACAAATAGCAGATATAGGTCAAACCACTGAGGCAAGTAGATGACCCGACAGGGGACTACCAAAAAGAACACTGAAGGCCGTAATCACAAGTTCTTCAAGGCCTTCAGAGAATGATCTTATGATGACATACTGCTTCTATGCCAATCAGTTTGGTTACTGCCAAGAAAGTGAGCAATTACAGACTACTTTCTGTACACATGTCTAG